GGGCCCGACGACGACGGGCCCGACGATGACCGGCCCGACGATGACCGGCCCGACGACGACCGGCCCGACGACGACCGGCCCGACGACGACCGGCGATACCGGGAAGTTGGGAATTATACAAAGTCGGGAACGCGTCGTCACGTTCTGCTGATAGCATTCCGAGTGGTTACGTCGCATCGTTTCCACGATTGTCTCGTTGTCTGCTGAGTTCTGTGTTGATCTGTTACCCAAATGTTCCCGAATATTCGGCAACGGTGTTAAGAAGTTTCACCTGAGTGTGCACGCTTGTTGTAGTTATAGACTATACTCAGGAAGGCAGCACGAAACAGATGTTTCGAATTATGTCCATGATTGGCGTCCGTTATCCGGGGGGTCGAGACTACCAGTATCTCCCGGTCCCTCGGACCGGCAACTTAGCTTCTGGGTCTAGCTTGTAGCACTAAAGTCTTTCGGAAAATATCCCCGTTAGAAAACTTCATAACGCCATAATCTGGGCGCTTGCCCATGGCGTTGCTGCCCTTAATCGACTCGTTGGTAGCCTGTGAGGCCGCGGCACGTTGTCGTCCTGCCCCCACGGGGCTTAAGAAGTACCATCAATCCGATTACTTCCTGCTCATCGTGAGCATGCTCATCGTGAGCATGCTCATCGTGAGCATGATTTGATGGCAAATAAACCATCATTCTTCTTCTTGGTCAACTGAGAGGTCATTCATATCAGCAAGGTTCATATCAGTAAGGTTCGAGCTCTGCAGTAATAACCAGGTGGTGGCATTGTCAATGGCTCGGCGATTCTTCTGTAGCTTGTTTCGATAGTGGTTCGAGGGGCCTGCGCGGTGCCTTCTTCTGAGGGCAACTCCTCCGGCCTTGACCGCCTCCTTCCTCCCATTCGATACCGTCCGGTAAATCCTCCGGCCTTGACCGCCTCCTTCCTCCCATTCGATACCGTCCGGTAAATCCTCCGGCCTTGACCGCCTCCTTCCTACCCATTCGATACCGGTCCGGTAAATCCTACCGGCCTTGACCGCCTCCTTACCTACCC